CACATCTTTCTTCTCATCTTAGTTCCCTGCTGCCTAAAGTCTTGTGCCTGAAATGCAATATCAAATTAAATGTATCATATTGTGCATCTTATGCATATCAAATTAAATGCATCATACTGTGCACCAATATACAGGGCATAAAGAAACCTTAAAAGAAAGTATTTAAATTAGAAAACCAAAATTGATCAGAATTCTAATAATTTTTAAAACCAACTTTGAAAAGGCAATGGCTTCACCAAAACAAAATTAAGTCCTTGTTTCAGTTACCCATAAAATGCAGTTTGAATAGGACTAACCTGTGAGCGAAGGTTCTCAGTTTTATCCACCAGCAACTCAATTTTCTCACCACGATCAAGGACCTGGCCAAAGCCAAATGTTACTAACAAACAACACACCACATGCAATATATTGGAAGTACTTTCAATTTTATAACACATCTAGCAACTTGCAGAAGCTGGATATCCATCTTATCATGTTTTAACCCTCAAACTACCTCTAGGACATCTACAAAATCAGCAGCAGCCTATTACCTTCTCAATGTTTTCCATCATAACACCCTTGACTTCTGAAACTTGAGCCTTCACTTTGGCAAGTTTGCTGATCTCTTCAGGATGGTCCACACAATACTGCATATGCTCCTTCAATTTGGACCTATTGTGTATAAAGAGCTAAGCATGTCACGAAGAAGTAAACAACAAATCTACGAGAAAAACAAAGACAGCTAAATACCCAAATTCTCTATTCAGGCTATTCGCAGTAGCAGTTGCAGCTTTCCCTCCACCATATCTCTTGTTGAAGTCTTCCTTGACTCGTTCCAGAAATGCAATTGGAACTTGCCTGCCAGCAGATTCAACTGCTACTACACAATAGGCTGCAGCACCAAATGTATTTGACAAAATGAGCATATGAGAAGGATTAAAGAAATTAGGATTTATGACAATAAGCAATCATTTCTTGATTCATTTCCTATTAAAGCCACATTCAACAAATTCACACCAGAAGTCAGCATCCAGATCTATGATCAAAACCAACATGTTTAAGAAAAAGAAAAAATAACCTTCTCTCCCTTTTCTTCTCTAAATGTAATCCATTATGCATATAATCAACAGCTTTAAAACTAACATCAATATGCACACACTTGTTAGCACATGCACCCACGGTGAAGCTAAAAAGTAGCAGCCAGCTGCAATTGATCAATCAGATAGTGACCTGGATATGCCTCATCCATGGGTATAATTAGACGGTGAGGTCCTTGACAAAACACGTTATTAACAATGTGTTGGAAGGTGCTGTTCATTTTTCCATGTTTGATACTAGTTATGTCTTCATGAAATCCTTTTGCTTTTCAACATCATTCTTTACTTTCCACATATTAAGCATTCATTTCGTAACATCAGCATAGAATTAACTTCCATGCATGGTCATTGGAACAAATCCAGATCCAAAACACATATAGATGCATCAATAGAAACATCAAACAGACATTGACTTTTGGGAGGGATGGGAAAAATCAACATGAAATGCAGTTAGCTAAGGAAAAGAGAAAAGGGAAAAGGGAAAAGCATAGAAGTAACAATCAAAATCAAACATACTTCAGACTAGAATGCTTCGTGTAAATTATAAATGGCATAATAACAAAATAAGCTCTCAAATTATGGTAAAATTCTCACTTAAGCCTTTATTATTTTATCTGTGTCAATCGAGACGTCAACCTACTATTTGGTGTCAAGTGATTCCGATTTAGATGGAAATGCTGACAATGTCAAATGTCCCCAAGTAACTCATGTAGGTAGGAATAAGTCGCACCTTTAGCAATGTCAGCATTTCCATTCAAAATTGGATTCATTTGACATCAAAATAATAGGTCAGGGGCTCAATCGACACAAATAAAACACTATGGGCTTAAGTGAGGATTTTATCACAGGTGAAGGGCTTATTTATCATTATGGCATTATAAATTATTTGAACCTTATGCTACATTAACCTGTTAATTTTTAGAGTCATCTCATTAATGCACCCAAATCCCAATATTACCTCCATTCGTCCATCAAAATAACGGACAACCACCACCCTCAAAAGATACAATATCCCTCATTATCGAAACTTTCTGATTCATGCTATATACATCCAAATAAAACATTACCATCTCATTTAAACAGGAAAAAATAAAACACTATCACCCCTAAGCTACACATTCACACTAAAAATCCCCTCAATGATTTTGCCTCTTTTTATTGATTCATTTCACCAGACACCTATGTAGTAAAGATTCAGATAAACCAGCACAAATCACGCACATATTTGCACAAAGAAAGCGGGTGGAAATCAAGTGAATCACCTTCGATGTTTGTAAAAACAAAATTAACCATGGATTGTCCTCATTTCCTTTCAATTAAAAGCTCAAATTCATTTCCTTCCTCTGCGTTTGCTCGGCAACCAAACAGAACATAACCCAAAACTCAGGAATGAAAACAACAGATCCAAACAAAACACCTTTCAGAAAAAAAAAAAGCCCAGATCCAACACGGGGCAATAGCAATCACCCGATCAACAAAAACCAAATCATAACTAAACAACATAAAGGATCGCACATCGATATTAATATCCGAATGATTATATAATTAATCCAAAAATGGAAAGATCCACAGATCAGTCCAACAAAAAAGAAAGTCAACCAACCAAAAGAACACGGACACCCAGATCGCAAATCGCAACCAACAATTTCAAAAAAAAAAAACAAGAGATCTAGAACGAGAAATAAAATATATTCTTACTGAATCCATTTTCAACGAGGTAATTGAAGGTATGGCCATCGCAGTTATAGGTAAACTTGTTGTTGGAAGCAGGGAGCTTCTGGAGACATTGAGCCGCGATGCTGGTGAAATTACCGGTGAACTCGGTATATTCGGCGAGGATCACCGTGCCACGCGCCACGAAGCTGTAGATCAGCGATTGTTGCCCCATCTCGCAAAACCCTAGCCCCAAAGTTTCAGAACCAAAAATCCAAACGAATGGATAAAAAAAATGAAAATAGAGAGATAGAGAGAGAGAAAGAGAGAGAGAGCGAGGGAGGGGCGATGGGATCGGAGAAGGAAATTGGAAAATGAAGAAATGCTGGATTTGCGGTAAATGGATTTATATTTATATATGTACGACGATAATCTTGTTTGTACGTATATATATTTAAGAGTATTTTTTTTATTCCTATTTTACAATTTAGAAAGTGGGGAAATTGCCTTGATATAGTGGGAATTTTGGATTTGGTCGTAAGGGGGGGGAAGGGCGTTGGTGGTGGAAATATCCAAGGTGTTGCCGTGGATTCAGGGGTTCAGAGTCACGCGGTTTTTCGAATTTTGTGGGACAGTTTTGAACTAGGGATTGGCCCATCAGAGAACCTTCCTGACCCACCCCCATTCTATGACTTCTTTTTATTGCTGTTCCTTCCTCTTCTCATGTTATATGTTTGTTTATTGTTTAAAGAAAATGAGAAGGAACCTTTGTGTAGCAATGTGCACGATCCGACGGAAAAGTCAGCTACAAAGATGTACATTTAATCAGTTTTAAAATTTTCATTTTATGCATTTTACAAAAATTAATTTAAAAATAAATAAATTATAATCTTATATACTCAAATATGACACGTTTTATTTTATTTTATAAAAAAATCAAGATTTATGAATACCGTTAATAAAATTTAAATCCAATGTCATTCATTAAAAAAATAATTGAAATATTTAGTCTATAATTTCTTACATATATAAATTTTGATAAAAAAATTAATATAAAGTGTATAAGGATATTATAATTCAAAACGATGATATATGGTTTACCTATGATTACAAACAACTCAAGCCTCCCTTAATATAATGTAGTAGTTCTCTCTATTTAAAAGGATCCAGGGTTTTCCAAAAAAAGTATGATGTATAAATTTTTTTTCTTATAAAATATTTTATTATGGGTTTCAAAGGTTTTGTGCTATTCTTTTGACACGTGCATTGGAAATATCAAATAAATGAGACAATTAAGGTGCAAGACGACTATCTTGGAACTATCATCTTTGTATTGATGCATGAATCCTTGACACTTTCCTTCTTCTATATTGATATATAAAAACCATTGTCACGGAACGCGTGGTACATTTGTCAAGAGCAAATAAACAGTATACAAGTCAAGTTTACAATAAGCATAGTCCTTCTATAAGCTTCCATTTGGTGGTGTGATTTTTGGTTTCCATATTCGTTTTGCTCTATACAACGCAAAGAATATTAACTCATTGATTCAACACTATTATAGATTTCAACAATAGTATAAACTTCCCAAAGAATGTTGGGAATGAGAGATTCGCAAGCAAGGTTACATTCAAGCTAACTAAATAGAAATCGAGTCATTTTCATGCTTCCTCTCTCTTTACGTGACTGATGGCTTTGGTGACTTGAGAATTAAGATTTAATTAAGGTATGAGGGTGACCCCTCCACTCCTTAGGCAGAAGGCTCCACGAGCCAAATGAATTCCTAGTTTGCTTTTTTTTTATTGGATTGTTTGTTCTAAAATTCTTAACCAAATTAAGGTATAACCATTTTTATATATCTTTCAGACTTGATTTTACATTATTCTTTTTTATTTTATATTATTCATTTTTTTCAAAATAAAAAAAAATAAACATAATCATAAGTCAAGTATCTTACCCATTCATATAAGCGATGAACAATTATATTGAGTCAAACTGATAAAATAAAGTAAACTTAACACAAATTATGTCTCCAATTTATAAAAAGTAAACGTAATTATAAAAACATTTATTTGTATTTATTCTTTTATCACATTTATTTAAAATAAATAAATTTATTATTCTTCAATCCCGACCATCATAAATTCAAGATTAATATCAAGAAAAGATTTATTAATAAAATTAGAATATAAGATATCATTATCGAAACAGATCAAATTATTGAATAAATTGAGATAATTTTAAGTAGTTAGCTTAAATATTTAATTATAAAAATTTAGGAAGGGGATCTATCAATATTAGTGAAATGTATGTATTGGATAAACTATTTTAATACTAAATAATAGTTTCTTTTTTCTTTTCGATGGATAATAGTGATATTTTCTGCATATCTTATCTATACTAATTATTTGGCTCTTTTTAACGATATTTTTATTTTAATAATTAAATATTTAATTTATTAATTAATACATTTTTTATTTAAAAAATATAATTCAAATCTCTTATTTTAATTAAAAAAAAACAAGATGTTTGTATTAAGGGACTAGCTGAATGATAGTATGGATAGCGCAGGACGGGTAGCCGCTGCATACCCTAGAGGGCATATTGGGAATTACAGAAAGTCCACTTGCCGCTTCTTTCCCCTCATTTTCCCGCCAAAAAACGGAAGAAAGTTCGAAAAAAAAAAGGCTCCCGATTCATTTCCGATCTCTGCTCCTCTCATCGTCCGTGAGTTGCAGCAACCTCGTTCCTTCCGATGGACATTGACATCCCGCTCCCAGAAGAGCTCGAATTACTCGAAGCCAACTCCCATTTTTACGAAGAACCCTACCTAGACCCTCCCTCACCCGATCCCTCCCCTCCAAAATCACCACCCTCCGAAAACCGCGAAATCGATGGCTCAAAACGCCCTCGGAACTCCGTCGAAACCGAATCACCACCAGAGGAAAACAAGAGAACCAAAACAATTGAGATCGAGGAAGAGGAAGAAGAAGAAAAAGAAAAAGAAGAAGAAGAAGAGGATTGGCTACGGTACTCGCCTCCGCAGGGGAATAACGTTGGGGCCGCAGTTGAAAAGGACGAGGAGGTTTATTTGTCCAGATATGTGTCAGCCATCAACGGCGACTGTGTGCCCGTCACGGCCCCGAGCGGTGGAGAACGGGTGTATGCCAAGATTCGTAGAGCGCAGAGAGATGAAAGACTAAAGAAATTGAATATCAAAGAACGATCTAACGGTAGGAAACAAAGAGGAATTTAGGTGTTGGAGATTTAATTTTTTTTTCAAGTGAATTGTGGAGAAGCTAGAATAATAGGATTAATTAGAAAACATAAGAAATTTAGCATAATTAAAAAAACATTCTTAAATTTCTATAACAATAGTTATGTGGTTGTCGCATATGGTTAAATTAATGTTTGAATTCTTTGCAGGCCTCATTTTTGAACCAGTCAATGTTCTATTGCAAAGAGTGGAACAACAGGTTTTTACCAAGGTACATGCCATTGTGATTAATTTCACGGCAAAATTAATGTTTAACTCTTTTGACTGCTCTAACTTGTTTCTTTGTATTACATCTTCTTGTTTGAAAATCTTTGCAAAAAAGAAGAATTAATGAGTTAAATATGAAGTGGAGAGCTTGTGACAAACGAATCGAATATTACAATTTTGTAGATTATCAAGCATTTCATGGTCCATCATATCATGTTTTTGATGTCCTACTAGCTAGTTTTTAAGCTTTTGCTTCAATTTTCATTAGTGCTTAAATAAATTCAATTGTACTCCTTGGCTTTATTAATGATGGTCACACATGGTCTTGTAATTTTTCTATGGAAAGAATGTTTTTGACAAGTCATTTATCGGGTTTTGAAGGCCTTGCAAGCGAGTTCTGAACATCAGAGTGATATACCTCTTCGCGACACACCTATGGTCCATGAACAACTTTGGGTCGACAAATATGCTCCAAGTTCATTCACTGAGCTTCTTAGTGATGAACAGACAAATCGTGAGGTATACAGTGGTTATTCGTACAATTGCTTCTGAAAGATGATAAGAATTTTAAGGTTATTTTTTTTCTTAACTATATCATTAGTGCTCAAGTCTTGATGGTAGTCTTACCATAGGTCCTTCTGTGGTTAAAACAATGGGATTCCTGTGTTTTTGGATCTGAAATTAGAAGTACCTCAGATGAGGTTTTGTCAGCTCTCAGACGTCATTCTTCTACTCAACATCAAAAAACTTTTGATTCAAATTTTTCAAGAAAGAGCAGAGGACATAGATGGAGTAGTGGAAGTTACAGACCCATTAATAATGTGGACCAAAGGAACAATAATCTAAAAGGTATGCAGGAATTGTGGAACAAAAAGTCAAGGCTCACTGGTCCACCAGAACAGAAGGTAAGCAATGGAACATTTGAGGGAAACTTGTTTTAGTTGATATATTTCCTTGACTTCTTGTCTCATTCTGGATGGCATGCCTTCCGGTTAATGCATTTCCTTCAGTAAGTTGAGAAATTAAAAAATCATTTCAATTTGGCACCAAATTGGACCTAAGAGATATCACCAGAGAAGACTAGTCTATCAGATCATGTTTTACAAGGAGTGGCACACTGTTTTTAAGCACTTGTTTTGCTAACCAACTTGATCCATGTTCCTGGTAATTCTGGTTTATGTTAGCTGCTTACTATAACCATAATATCTCTTGATCTCAGTTGAAAAAAGTCTAGTTTTTCACTTGGTACATGATTTTGTTTGAATTTTTTCATATGTTAATATGCAAAACACTGCCTAGGAATATGATTTTTTACCATGAATGCTTCATTTGAGAAATCATCCCTTGCTTACCTGTTTGGTGCATTTAAATCAAATGTGAAGAACAGGTTTAACATAAAACTCTAACATCTCTTGCTACTAGTTGACAAGTCTTATGCATTTCATGCATTTCACTTGGTTGATGACATAAAAATAAACAAGAAAATCCATTTCTAGTAGATTAAGAATCGTTTGAAATTTGCTTCATGGTCTTTTAGTGCTCTTCATCATCAACTTTTAAGTTTGAAATCCAGTACTAATGGAATCTTATGGCCATTGCAGATTCTCTTACTTTGTGGTCCTCCAGGGCTTGGAAAGACTACACTAGCACATGTAGCTGCAAAGCATTGCGGATACCATGTTGTGGAGGTCTTTTCTGTTTAGCTTTTAGTCTCACATGGTCCTGTAGAGTTATAAGCATTGCAGGCAATTAGATATCTTTGCCTTCAATCGTTGCATTAAGCAGTTTCTGAGTTTTCTGTGTGATACTGTGCATTCAACATGATTTGCTTTGCCATAGAGGAAGTATTTTGTGAATTTCATTGGCCAAAAATTATTTTATAGAAAGTCATGGATATGTTATGAATTTGCACATGAAATATATTAACTCAATCAGTTCATGCTCCAACACTTGGTGCCGTTAATCTTGCTATAGTAGCATTGATAGGTCTAGCATGTTATTCTTACCTGATTATTTTT